CGCAGAGGTGGGGATTGGAGGAGGGGGAGCCCATCCGGGCGGAGCCCTGTGTCCAGACAGCGCGACCCGGCCTCGACCCAGGACCAGCCATCAGCGCGGTGGGAGATGTGGCTTGAATTTGCAAACATTTTAATGTTCTTTTTGAGTCAGTGTCCCACTCTGCTGCCCAGGCTGGAGTGCAGTGGCACGCTCACGGCTCGCCTCAGCCTCAACCTACTGGGCTCTGGGGATCGTTCCGCCTCAGCATTCCAATTAGTTGGAACTACAGATGTGCTACCACGCCTGGCTAATTTTTTTATTTGTTGTAGAGACCAGGTCTCACCAGGTTACCCAGGCTGGTCTCGAACCCCTGGGCTCAGGCAATCCTCTCTCCTTGGCCACCCAAAGTGCTGGGATTACAGGCTTGAGTCACCATGCCAGGCCGATGGATACCATTTTTACCAGATTTTTGCAAACAAGGAAATTGAGGCATGGAGAAGCCTCAGTCTCAACACCAAGCCCCCAAGCCCTGACTGACTCTGCACAGTGATTATGTCCTTAAAGAGGGCAGCCTCCCTAATGGACGCCTCTGTGAAAAGTGTGTGTTTATGGAGTCCCTGACCCATGGGGAGAGAATGTTTCAGAGCCACAGATTTATGAAGCGTCACGAGTGAAGTCCTGGCATTGGGATTAAAGGACTGAGAAGGAAAAATGCTGGCATTCCCTGCTTTAGACAGGTTCATTCCAAACAAATCAAAAGCAGAGTCCTTAGGAAGGAACACTCAACTTTCGGTCAGTCACCAGACGCAGACAGGAAAACAGCCCCTTGAGTGGCATTGGGGTCCTTGAAGTGACCATACGTGACTGCCAGCTGAGCTGTGAGAGCCAATGCAGGAATTTGTAGGCTTTAGTCAAAGCTCAGTATCAGTCTACCTGCACGTGGAAACAAGAGTCAGTGAATTCCTTCTCCAGGCACTCATCTGTGCCTCCGTCCTGACACAGAGCGACTTGCACTGCCCAGGGGTGGACTGAGCCTGGGAGGATGGAGCCAAGAGGTGGACCAAGCCCAGGTGGACTAAGCCCAAGGATAGATGGAGTCCAGGTGGACTAAGCCTGGGGTGGACTGAGCCTGGGGGTGGACAGAACCTGACGTGGACTGAACTCAGATGTGGACAGAGCCCCAGATGGACCAAGCTGGGGGTGGACCGAGTCCAGGTTCTGCCTTCCCTCCTTCCCGGTTCTCATGAAGATGACAGGGAATTTGAAAAATAAGACTGAATGCAGCCCTCAGTGTGCAGATTCCATCACAAGTAACTCATTTCTCCTCTGGTCCGTGCATTCCAGGAGGGCTGAGCCTCATGTTGTCCTGAAACACCAAATCCCAGAAAACAATGCCAAGACATCTACAGAGCCCTGAAGGAAGTGGGCTGTGACCGACACTGCTTTAAGTTTCTATTTTGGCTTCTGGGGGTCAAGAGACTCATATGTGCAGTGAACCACAACACCTGAATGTCGCCTGGGTCCATCCAGGGAGACATGTGCAGAAACAGACAAGGTCAAGGAGATCCCGCTGGGCCTTGAAGAGAGCCAGGAGACCAACCACAGAGGCTCAGTGGAAGGCCACTCTGCAGGCAACACCGTGTGCCTCTGAGCCCCTCCCCGGGCTTGTGACATTAAAATCCGCAATCAGAGTCAATGAGCCAGAATTAGAGGCCAGTCATCCCAGCAGCTCCTCTCGGGCCCAGAAAGGGACCTGGGGGGCAATTTGCTAAATGGGCGAAGACTGAAAACAGAGAGGGCAGGGTGGTCATCAGGGTCTCGCTAAACCTGCAATCTTGGGGGTTCCCAGGACTGGCAGGCCTGCTGTCACTCCTGGGGGGCTTAGTGCCCATGTAAGGAAGCAGGTATTCCTGGCTACTCTCTGTTTTTTCCCTAACTGTTTATGGGAAAAACCCAGGCTGGGAACAAGGCTCACTCTCCAGGTGTGATGGCAAAAATGCAAGGGCCAGGGTCACCTTGCTGCTTTCAGGGCCTCCCGTTACTCTTGCTGTCCCCAAGGTGGGTCCGGTCCTCCAAGAGGGGAGCGATTATTCATGGAGAGGAGAGACAACAACACAGTACTTGGAAAATCCACCAACTCTGTGGGGGGCAAAGAAATTTCGCGCCTGTAGTACAGCCTAGACCAAAGCCAATTCCAGGTAGATGGAAGGGTTAACAGGAATAACAATAATAATGCAACAAAACACTGGAGAAAGAGATGCGCAAGTGTTTGTCTTGTCTTTGGACAAGGGAGCATCCTTCTAAGTAAAAAAGGGACAGAAGACATCGCAGTGGCAAGTTCATAAGCTATGAACCAGGGTGCCCCCCAAAAAGTATCCACATTTACGAGATGCTATCTGAGGCCAGGCACAGTGGCTCAAACCTGTAATCCCAGCACTTTGGGAGGTCGAGACGAGAGGATTGCCTGAGCTTAAGGGTCCAAGACCAGCCTGGGCAATTGGCAAGGCCTCATCTCTACAATAAAAATTAAAAAAATAAGCTGGGCATGGTAGCGCACACCTGTAGTTCCAGCTACTTGGAGGGCTGAGGCAGAAGGATCACCTGAGCCCAGCAGGTCGAGGCTGCAGTAGCCATGAGGATGTCACTGCACTCCAGCCTGGGAGACAGAGTGAGACTCCGACTCAAAAAAAAAGAGAGAGAGAGATTCTATCTGTGTATGGCTCTTCGTCAGCTGTCATCAGAAGCGTCTGGACACCAAGGGGAACCACCCTGAGCACCTCTTGCAATTGCAGAAGTCACACATTGCTTGTATTCATCTCTTGTGATCAGTATTTATTGAATATTACAATTTGGGTTTTTTAAATTTTTTTTTAATTTTAAGGATGTGGGGTACAATTCAGGGTTAGGTATACAAATGTTGATTATGCAGGTACCCTTGTTGATGAGGTGTGCCCCTCCCTCCCCTAACAGTTTCCCTCAACTGCCAATCCCACCCCCCTCTCCTTGTAGTTTACCACTACTGCCAATCCCTTTCTTTTCTTTTTCTTTTTTTTTTTTTTGAGTTGGAGTCTCACTCTGTCGCCCAGACTGGAGTGCAGTGGCCGCTCCCGGCCACCGCAGCCTCGACCTGCTGGGCTCCGGCGATCCTTCCGCCTCAGCCTTCCAACTAGCTGGAACTACAGGCGTGCGCTACCACATCCAGCTAATTTTTTGATGTGTTGTAGAGATGAGGTCTCACCAAGTTGCCCAGGCAGGCCTCGAACCCGCAGACTCAGGCAATTCACTCACCTCAGCCTTCCAAGGTGCGAGATTACAGGTTGAGCCACCGAGCCTGGCTCAATCTCTTTCTTATAGTATTATGATAATTGTTCAAGGTCCGCTTATGAGTGAGAACATATGGTACTCTATTCTTTGTTTCTGTGATAGATCACTGAGTATGATCAACTCCAAATCCATCTAAGTTGCTGCGAAAGTCCATATGCTTGTCCTTCTTTGTGGCTGCATAATATTCCATTGTGTATATGTACCACTTTTTTTAATCCAGTTCAGCTTTGATGGGCAGCATGGTTGGTTCTGTGTTTTTGCTATTGTGAATAGAACTGCAACAAACATATGTGTGCAGGTATGTTTTTTGTAGAATGATTGGATTTCCTCTGGGTGTATTCACCATAGGAGAATTGCTGGGTCATATGGAAGGTCAACTTCTAGTTCTTTCAGAAATCGCCCCACTGTCTTCCAAAGAGGTTGCACTAGTTTGCATTCCCACCAGCAGTGTAGAAGTGTTCCTTTTTCTCCACATCCTTGCCAGCTTCTGTTGTTGTTTGTTTTATTAATGATGGCCATTCTTTCTGGGGTTAGGTGATATCTCAATGTGGTTTTCATTTGCATTTCTCTGATGATTAGTGAGACTGAGCACTTTTTCATGTGTCTTCTTTTAAATATCTATTCATGTCTTTTGCCCACTTTTTAATGGTACTGTTTGTTTTTTTCCTTTCAGCAGGTTTGAGTTCCTTGTAGATCCTAGATGTTAGGCCTTTGTCAGATATACAGTTGACAAATATTTTTTTCCCATTCTGTGGACTATCTCCCTGCTCTCTTGATGGTTTCTTATGCTTTGCAGAAGCTCGTCAGTTTGATGAGGTCTCACTTATCTATCTTAGTTCTTAAGATATGGGCACTTAGTTTTCTGATGAGGTATTGGTTACCAGTTCCAATTTCCATACAGGTGTTTCCTGTGTTTTCTAAGATTCTTATAGTTTGAGGTTTTACATTTAGGTCTTTGATTTATTTAGAGTTAATGTTTGTGTATGATGACAGGTCGGGGTCCTGTTTCAATCTTCTGCATGTGATCAGCCAGTTTTCCCAGCACCATTTACTGAATAGGTTCTTCTCTCCCCCGTGGTTGCTGTTGGAGGCTCTGTCAAATATAAGATGGTTGAGAAATTGAGGTTTTACTTCCAGAATCTCTATCCTGTTCCATTGGCCTGTGTGCCTGTTCATTACCAAAACCAGGCTGTTTTGATTACTGTAGCCTTATAGTAAAGTTTGATGTCTGGAAGTGTGGTATCTCCTGCTTTGTTTCTTTTACTAAGGATTGTTTTGGCTATTTGTAGCAGCCCCAGCACGCGACAGGGGAGGGGGCAATGTGGGCGGGGCACAAGCCAACTGGCAGCAAGGAGGTCACCGCAGCGATGGCCAGCTGGGTGCACGCATGCATATTTTTCTTTTAATCAGAGTCTCACTCTGTCGCCCAGGCTGGAGAGCAGTGGCATGCTCATGGCCTCCACAGACTCAACCTGCTAGGCTCAGGCAATCCTCCTGCCTCAGCCTTCCAAGTAGCTGGGACCACAGGCACGCATCACCATGCCCGGATAATTTTTTGATTTATTGTAGAGATGAGGTCTCGCCAAGTTGCCCAGGCTTGTCTCGAACCCCTGAGCTCAGGCAGTCCTCTCACCTCAGCCTCCCAAAGTGCTGGGAATTCAGGTATGAGCCACCATGCCTGACTGAGTATTACAATTTTAATACAGTTTTTTCCCTTTCTTAAAATGTGTATACTTTTTTTGGCACCCTCTGTATATACAATTTTTAAACATTGGTATTGTAAAAATGCCATTTAAAATATTAAAAGCAAATTATAAAATGAGATAACACATTTTCAGCATATATAAATCCAAGCACTTATATCATTCATTTATAAAACATTTTATTGCCCAGGCTTGGTTGCTCAGCCTGTAATCCCAGGACTTTGGGAGGCCAAGGTGAGTGGATTGCCTGAACCCACGGGCTCAAGACCAGCCAGGGTAACCTGATGAGACCCCCATCTCTACAATAAATAAAAAATTAGCTGGGCGTGGTAGGGCATGCCTGTAGTTCTGGCTATTTAGAAGGCTGAGGTGGAACAATTGATGAAACCCAACAGGTTGACACTGGGGTGGCCATGAGCATGCCACTGCAAAATTTTAAAAACCATTTTATTGTGTTGTTTTATAGGAAAAAAGGCACAGTAGACACACGATCACAAAAAGGAATGTAGAGAGTTAATATGCTTAGAAACATATCCACTGGTAACCAGAGAAGTGAAGAAGCAGTTAGAAGCCTTTGTTTTCAGTGCTGGAAAAGATTCGAAGATGTGACACTGTGTCAAAGACACAGTGGGCTGGCATTCTCTCCTGCCAGTGGTATGTCCCTTTTTGAAGAAAACTTGGGGGTAGATGCCAAGCATCCTCAGAATGTACATCCCCTTTGGCCTAAGAATTCTCTCCTTTTTTTTTTTTGAGTTGGGAGTTGCACTCTGTCACCAAGGCTGGAGTGCAGTGGCACCATCATAGCTCACTGTAGCCTCGATCTCCTGGACTCAGGCAATCCTCCTTCCTCAGCCTCTTGAGTAGCGGGGACTACAGGTGTGCATCACAGCACCCAGCTAGTTTTTTTGTTTTTTTGTAAAGATGAGGTCTCACTATGTTGTCCAGGTTGGTCTCGAACTTCTGGGCTCAAGTAATCTTCTGTCTTTGGCCTCCCAAAGTGCTGGGATTACAGGCGTGAGCCACAGTGTCTGGCCTGGGCTTTCTTTAAATAGAGATCTGTCAAACAGAAAAACTGACTGGAATATCGCTCTTAGATGGTTTATATCTAAAAGCAACATGACCTGGTGATTACACTTGCCTTATATCATTTAAGTCTGTTATAGCAAATAAATGTCTGTTTCTTTCATTCTCTCTCTCTCTCTCTCTCTCTCTCTGTACAGATGGGGTCTCACTGCATTGCCCAGTCTGGTCTCCAACTCCCTGGGCTCAAGTGATCCTTCCGCCTTGGCCTTCCAAAGTGTCAGGATTATAGGCGTGAGTTACAGCACACAGCCTTTTTTTTTTTTATTTTGAGGCAGAGTCTCTGTCATCCAGGCTGGTATGCAGTGGTATGATCATATCTCTCTGCAGCCTTAAACCTTTGAGCTCAAGCCATCCTCCTGCCTTGGTCTCCCAAAATGCTGGGATTACAGGCATGAGCCACCACACTCAGCCAAATGTCAGTTTCCAACACGAATTACTCTTTATCTAATGATAGGTATAATGATGTTTTCTGTGTCCAAAAAGTTTACCACACTTAAATCACTTGAAATGCCACACAATATTGCATTTATACGATCTCCATGAGAGACTGAGGACTTCAAGTCAGCGAGGGTGGGTGTCACTGGCGGTGGCTTCAGGCATTTTAAAACCGGCTCAGGAACGGCTGGGTGGCGGGCAGACCAGCAGGCAGAGGGCATGTTCACAGAAGCCTCACTGGCAGAGCTGTCAGACGTGACAAATAAAAACACAAGGTACCGAGACACATTTGAATTTCAGAAAAACAGCAAATGCCTTTTTTAGTATAAAGATGCTTCAGATATTTCATCTGCTAACTCACCAGGAGAGATGATCATCAGAAAATTGAGGTGATCACCATCACGCAAATACCCCTGGAACAAACCTGCATATATATCCCCTGAATCTAAAATAAAACAAGGAAAATTGAGGTGGAGTTGTAGCCTCTGGGGGCTAAGATTTCCATACAGTTAGGAAATAACCCCAAATTGTGGCCAGGGGCAGTGGCTCACTCCTGTCATCCCAGCACTTTGGGATGCTGAGGCAGGAGGATTGCCTGAGTCCAGGAATTCAAGACCAGCCTGGGCAACATAGCAAAATCCTGTCTCTATAAAAAAAAAACAAAAAAAAACAAACCACAGTTGGGCATGGTGGCACATACTTATAGTCCCAGGTACTTGAGAGGCTGAGGTGGGAGGATCACCTGAGTCCAGCAGGACCCCAAGAATGTCGTAGTTGAGTTTGTAAAGATTGAGTCATGCACACGATGTGACTCCAGAAACCAACATCAGCCTCAGGGATTGAGTCGGTGGCTGAAATGTGACCAGCCTGGGCCAATTGGATCCTTTCCTGTGATTTTCTTTCTTTTTTGTTAAGTCCAAGTCTCACTCTGTCACCCAGGTTGGAGTGCCGTGGCATGATCATGGCTCACTGCAGCCTCAACCTTCTGGACTCAGGTGATCCTTCCACCTCAGCCTCCCGACTACAGGTAGGACTACAGATGGGTGCCACCACACCCAGCTACTTTTTTTTTTTTTTTGAAACAAGGTCTAGCTATGTTTTTTTGTAGAGACAAGGTCTTACTATGTTTTAGTCTGATCTCGAACTCCTGGGTTCAAGCCTTCTACCTGTCTTAGCCTCCCAAAGTGCTGAGATAATAGGCATGAGCCATTATGTCCAATCGGTCGGTTTTTTATTTTTTATTTATTTTTAATTTGTATTTTTTATTTTTTTGAGTTGGAGTCTCACTCTGTCACCCAGACTGGAGTGCAGTGGCCACTCCCAGCCACTGCAACCTTGACCTGCGGGATTCCGGCGATCCTTTCACCTCAGCCTTCCAAGTAGCTGGAACTACAGTCGTGCGTTGTTTTTTTTTAAACACCATGAGGAGGAGTCCTTTCCTCTCTAGCTAAGAGGATGGGAAGTTGTGAACTCAAACACTGCTCCTACCGTGATTCTGTTTTATGAACTTACCCGGTCTGGGAGAATAAAACCCAGAAGCAAAGACCAAATACAGCAAGTGCAAGGGGAAGGGTGAACATGCAGGTGATGCCAGGACCCTGTCTGTTTGCTTCCAGAGTCACCTCCCGCTGCCTGGTTCCATGAGCTACTAAATCTTCTTTGAGTCAAGCTTGTCCAAGTGGCAGCTGAAGGAGTCCCCAAGTAATAAGACCGTTTTCACTCAGTGGTCAGACACTGGAAATTAGGTTTCCATTCGCTTGTCAAGGTGGCCTTTGGCGGTCAAAGGCCACCAAGGGTAAGGCAGTTTCTGGATTGCAGCCCCGAGCTCACGTGGCCAGGGAGGGGAGGTCTGGGTGGCATGAAGTCATTGCACAGAGTAAGCAAGGGCTGTGACTGCTGTCACATACAGTTCTCACCTGTGTCTGGTAGCAGCGACTGCCTGTGTTTTGCATTCAGATCTTGCTGTCTGTACCAATATTATAACTTGCAGCCAGGCACAGTGGCTCACAAATGTCATCCCAGCACTTTGGGAGGCAGAGGCAAGAAGGTTGCCTGAGCCCAGGGTTTGAGACCAGCCTGAGCAACTTGGCGAGACCTCATCTCTACAGTCAATCAATAAATTAGCCTGTAGTGGTGGCGTGCGCTTGTGGTTCTGGCCTTTTAGGAGGCTGAGGTTGAAGAATCACCTGAGCCTAGGAGGTCAAAGTTGTGGTAGCCATGGTCGTGCCGCTGCATTCCAGCTTGGTTGACTGAGACTCTGACTCTAATAATAATAATAATAATAATTTTTAAAAACAGCAAGGGCTGTGGCTGCTGCCATGCATGGTTTTCGCTGTGTCTGCCAGCATTTGCATTCAGATATCGCTATCTGCACACACATCAAGCAGCTGAAGAGGAACCTGGGATCATAGCACCAGTCTAGGGTTGGCCCTTTGGGCCCATCTACCATGGCCAGCCTCCAAATTCCCACACATAGACCAGGAAAAAAATAATACTGACCAACACCTGCTAACAGCATCATCGCCCATGAGCCGCCTATACTCCCCAACCAGAGATGACCTTGTCACCTCTGAGTCCCGACAGGGCCAACAGTTCTGTGAACCCCTGTGCCTGGCAGTGGGACTGGCCCCGATGTGGGGTCGTCTTGTTATCTCAAGTTGGGTTATGTGGCTGGTGCATCCAGACCTCCTGCTGCATTTTCGGGGCTGTGTTTTTGTGTCATCGTGTGGGTTTCCTCAGTCTATCTGGCTTGCTCCGACAACGTCAGGATTCATGAGCAGTCAGCGCCATACAAACACCATCTCATCGGCCCGAGTGGTGTGATTCAATTGTCTGCTTCCTGGGCCTTCCCCAAAGGCTGTGACTGAGACTTGATTGAATCCAGGCCCTTCCGTTATCTCCATGTCTGCCGGGAGGGGCCTCAGTCACCACAGACTCTTCCACGACTTAACAGGGGTCGCTTTCCATGGGAAGACTGTCATTACTCTTCCTTTTCTTTGTAAACTTCTGTTCTTTCATCAGCTTCATGTCTGTTTTCGCCTCTCCTTTACCCCAACATTTCAACTTGTTTTTGATGCACGTTTTCAAAGCCCTTCCTGCGGACTCCACTTAACTGTCTTTGTGTGCAGAAAGGCTTGTATCAGGAGGCACTTGTCATCTGATAAACTGAAAAGGAAAAAAACATATATATCTACAAAGCTCTCACAGGATATTAAACTGAGAATTTATTTGATCTAAACATTAAAAAAAAAAACAAACTCCGGTGATATTTTTCAAGGCTCACTGCTGGAATATTACCTCTTGTTGAGTCGCCAGACAGTGCAATAAGTAGCAAAAAAGAGGTGGAGGAAAAAGAAGTTCTAAAATTAGACTCCATTCATTGGTTTGGATTTTTAAAAATTTGCCAAATTTCTACTTTTCTACTTTTTCTACTCCATATGAAATAGAAAAACCATTAACATTTTGAATTGAGGAAATGTTGTTTTGAAAGATTTTCTTTTTTTAATTTTAATTTTTGAAATATAGGGTACAATTCAGTGTTAGGTATGCAAATGGTCATTGTACAGGTAAAGTCTGGGCCTCACTTTGGTCCCCACGTCACCTGGTTTGGATCAGGTACCCTTACTGATGAAGTGTGTCCCCCGCCAGTAATTTTCCACTACTGCCAATCCCTTTCTTATAGTATTATGATACTGGTTCAAGGTCTGCCTGTGAGTGAGAACATGTGGTACTCAGTTCTTTGTTTCTGTGATAGATCACTCAGTATTACAGCTTTTTTTTTTTTTTTTTTTGAGTTGGAATCTCACTCTGTCACCCAGGCTGGAGTGCAGTCGCACACTCACAGCCACCGCAGCCACGACCTCCCAGGCTTAGGTAACCCTTCTGCCTCAGCCTTCCAAGTAGCCGGAACTACAGAAAAGATTCTTTAAAGGTAGATTTCTCTTGGAGTAATTTAAAATTTGCCTCTCACACAGGAAGCAAATCACAGAAACAACCTCTTGCCCATCTGCTAGGGTTGGTAGAACATAGTATGCTGGGCTCATCTGGTCCTAGGAAAAGACTGTGGTCTATTAATAACCTTAAATTTCCTACATCTTTTCTTACTTCCAATATTAATAAAGAAAATATCTTAATTACATAAATTGTATAATCTTGGGCTTCCCTTTTTTCATTCCTAAGAGTAAACGGGAGAATGTCAAAAGCCCTTCACTGAACAGATGTCTGATGAATGCTACACGAAGGTTGCCAATACCAGGAAGGCAGCGATCATAGCACAGGTCCAGGGTTGGCTCTTTGGGCCCATCCCCCATGGCCAGTTTCCAAATTCCCACACACAGGCCGTGGAAAAAAATAATACTGACAAGCACCTGCTAACAGCATCATTGCCCACGAAGGATCACCTGTCCTTCCCACCTGGAGATGACTTCGCCGCCACCGAGTCCCAACAGGGCAGGCTGCTCTGTGAGCCCCTGTGTCTGGCAGCGGCCCTGGCAGCGAGCCTGGCCCCAGTGTGGGGTCATCTTGGCATCTCATGTTGGGTTGTGTGGCTGGTGCATCCAGGTCTGCTGCTGCATTGTTTGAGGCTGTGCTTTTGTGTCGTCGCAGGGACCGGCAGGAACCCGCAGGAACCAGCGTCTGTCGCATAGTCCCAGATCTGACCAAGCCCAGATCCTCCACAGACACTGCAGACACAGCATCAAGTGGACGACTTGTCTCCGGGCCACGCTCACGTCCCCTCCCTCCCTGGGGGGGCACTGCCAATACCTGTCTCTCGCCTTTGCCCGTGAATCACTTAGCGGAGGAGATACCCGCCCCTTATCTTCATTCAGAAATGAAGGCTCCTTGGCCTCTCCCTTCCTCTGTGAGCCCCTTGACTCTTGTCAGTTTTCCTGTGAGCGTCAGGTACTGTCTTCTCTTTGTCCAGACCACCTGTCAGTCTTTTCTGAAGCCTGCCATTCCCACAGATGACAGGTGCCTGTCCTGAAATGGACCCCCTTGGGATGGAGTTGAATGTGGGATGGGTGGATTTGTGGAGGAAGGCATCCGATCCCCCAGCATGAGGGAAAGAATCCAGAGTGTGACTTTCTGCGCCGCCGTCATCCGACGGCCACATTCAGCTCTGCTAACCTGGCTCCCACCATGGCCTGGTGTCAGGCTGTGTCTGTTTCTCAGTGGCAGGGTGAAGCCCTGCACCCAGGGACCCGATGGGAGGCTGTCTGGGCTGTGGGTTGGAATATTAAATGGCATTGCCTTTCCGCAGCTAGCTGAGCTACTTGAGTCACAGCTGCAGTAAAAAGGTTTTAACAAAATTAAAATCTCGGCGGGGGAGGGGGAATTGGAGAATAAAGGAGGTTGGACAGAACTCTGAGACAGGAGCGGCCAGACAGGAGACGCTGGCATTGGCTGGCTTCTAGATTTAATTAGAAGGGGAGAGTAGAGCTTTAGATGGAGAGGCCTGCATTTGTGATTAAGTAGACCAAGAGTCTACTTAGTCTAAAATGAACTCCCCATTGAATACAAAGAAAAAAATATGAATTGTTTGGAAAATGCATACTCAAAATAGAAAGAGCTATGCAGCAGAGAACAACAGCAGTCCCCCATGAGAGCAAATGGAAATAGATCAGTGACCCCCTGTCACTTTCCATTTCCAAGCTAATGAATTACTTTTCTAAAAGCTTGGCTCTGCACCCAGCTGGGGTTGGCACGGAGCAGGAGATTCCTGTTGTGTCTCTCGCAGAGGGGGAATGATTGGTGGGCCAAGGGTAGCCACTTTGGAAATCCACAACCATCACGCTTGTCACTGCAGAGAAACCAGGGCGGGAAAGATTCTCAGGGTAAATTAAAGCCGGAGGAACACATTGTCTTTTACTTTCACTCAGGGGGGTATTTTCCAGTGTCACCTTCAACAAAAAGAGAAACTCTCCGACATGCTGCAGCTTTCTTTGTTTCCCTTCCCGGGGAAAGGAAGAATACCTTGTTGCCCTACAGTGTCTCAGGCCCTGATGCCACACAGATGGTGAGGGAGCTCGACCCTTGAGCAGCAAAAAAACCAGCTTTTTCTCCACATCTTCTCCAGCATCTGTTGTTGTTTGTTTTATTAATGATGGCCATTCTTACAGTGGTTAGGTGGTATCTCAATGTGG